GGACATAAAAAATATTTTCATTAGCGAAAAAATCGTATTTTATATTTCCCATCAAAAAGTCCTCCACGATGGCACATTTCTCCCACTACTTGATCCAGGAGTTCCCTTGTTTTCTGTTTTGGGTTCAAAATTACGAGGCTACGGAGTTGCACACTTGAAGGTGTAAACTCAAAATTGAGTCGGGTGTTCAACGGCGGTTATAAAATAAAATAGAAAATATTGTGATCAAAAATTCTAACTTGTTTTGAATTCGTGATTTGAAAATAACATGCATTTGAAAATGATGACTGGCAAGCACATTCTCTTCTTACAGATACATCATATATTATGATCTAATATATGTGTTCACATGTTTCCAATTTAGACTTTCAATATTATTTTGGTTGTTCTCAGCATAAAGTAATTACAAGAAATCGTTTACATGTAAGTTAATTTTTTAATTTCATTTTACTCTTTATATTTATTTATTTTTTTAAAATCTGCATGTAAGTTAATTTTTGCTTCTCATTTTAAGGTTTTTTTTTTAAATCTGTTTTTCAAATCTTTTTACTTAAGTCTTTAATTATATTAAAAAGTATTAGCCTAATATTATCTTTATACATATTTTATGATAAAAAATATTTAGTCACTGTATTTTATTTAGTAAACGGTAAATAGTTATATATCCCTTTTAATAAGTTATATTTAATTTTAATTAAAATTTATGTGAAACTGTATTCACTCAACGTCTGAAATTAAAATAATAAACGCGAAGTCACTTTTTTAAAATTCTAAGTCAGTATTAAGATTTAACTTTTCCCACTATTGCTAAAATTAACAATAAAAATATTTAACGAGTTTTTATAGTAAGAAAATAGTTAAATAAGAATTTCAAGAAACAATTTTATGAACGAAGATACGATGGTAAACCAAGAAAATGATTCAATCTAAATTTTGTCCATATGGAATCGGAAACAAAGCCTGTGGTGCCTACTTTATCAACAATTTGTTAAAAGACAATTTCATACAGAAACTATGACATGTCACGGACTATTATTCTGTAATTGAATAGAAATAGAAACTATTCAATTACAGAATAATAGTCCGTAATAGTATAGAAACTCTATAAATTTTATACTTAATAAAATGAAATATAATTTTAGAATCAACTAGTTACCGGTCAACAATGTTTTAATAGAATAAAATATTTTGGAACGTTTATGTTAATAATTTATAAGTTAAATGCAACAGTCTGAGAAAATAGTAATGATTTAGAAGAGCTCAGAAAATTTTGTTTTTCTCTCAACCTAAAATTTCTAAATGCTAATAATTTAGGAAGAATATTTCTAAAGTTTAAATTAGGTTAATTAAAGTTAAAATTTTCAGGATGCTTTCTTTTAGAACTATGTTTAATGTAGTTTTCAGTTCCATATAGTTTCCCAACTTAAAGGATTATAATCTACATGAAAATCAAGACAAAAACTAACGTACTTCCTTCTTCTGTGACTCTCCACACGCTAATGGTTAAAGCATGCGAAGCGCTGCAATATGTAGAGAGTTCTGCTCTTCACCACCGGTCGCCTATTTCGATAGCCAATATTTCACCAACCAGGCACTCGTTCTCCCTCGACGGTGATGTCCCAAGGTGGACTGATCGTAAAGATACGTTTCTCAGTAGAACACCGAAGTCAAGTATCACTGACTGCCGTCAGTAAGCGGTGGGTGACCATTTTGATCAGCATGCGTAGGGACCGAGAGTGCGCGGTATCAGTTCTCGTTAAACTTTTCTACCGTATAGTGCTTGACTTTGCGTGCAGGACGCTGGGCTACCGAAGCGGGGGTGCCACCCTTTCTGCTGAGGATCAAAATTGCGATGGCACTTCTCCCTTTCTCCAATCCCCTTTCTCCAATATTTTCCCCATTTAGGTAGGCAGGCACTTTATNCCCTCCCTCTCTTCTCAGCTGAATAGGAATGTACTACGATATTTTCCCTTTTCTTAATATTTTTCCTTTTGATTTAATAAAAATATTTTCTTAAATTTCCGTGATGCTTTTCTTCAGAAATATATTTAATTCAGTTTTCAGTTTCATATAGTTTTCCAGTGTAAAAGATTTTAATCTATATGAAAATCAAGAGAAAACTAACGTACTTCCTTCCTCTATGACTCTCCACACGCTAATAGAGAAAGCATGTGAAGTGTTGCCATAGGTATAGAAAGTTCTGCTCTACTCCACCTGCAGCTAATTTCGATCGCCAATTAAGGGACTGTTCTCAGCGCATACGAATAATTTATACGTGAATGGGATCTTTAAAAGTGAATTTTTAGTTGCATTGAAACAGTTCCTAAGACCCCCAAACTTCCACCCACCCTCCAGTATAAACTGTTTTTACCAAGTAGACCGATCTTCCTTCCCCTAATTTTTTTTTATTTGTTGGTTTCGAAAACTGTATGTGCATTCAACGAATCGGCTCCTTTGATAATTATAATTATCAAAGGAGCCGATTCGTATAGTTCGTATCGTTCGAGTATACTCGAATTTAAACTTGCTTAACCTATACTGAAAACTTTCAACATGCATAAAATTCTTTTATTTCACATTTTCAGTTAGTAAATAACCAAAATCATTCGTATTGGTGACTTAAAATTATTATCCGCAAAAATAAAAGTAAATTTAAATGGAAGAATTTAACTTCGCATGATTAAGCTGTTAAACAGTAGTTAAATACTTTATAATGTCTTATTATTTGTTCGTTCTCAGATAAACACGGATATAGAAAACTGTTTGGCGCAGCGTATCTAAAATTTCTAGTAAAAATCTGCTTTCTGCTTCTGTCTGCAGTTAGAAGCTAACATATGTGAAGGCCGCTTTAGGATGACATCTATTTTACATTCTGCTCAATGTACAAAGCAGAAGCTTAAATTTTATAAAAATCTTGTTGTTGTTGTTGTTGTAGTTAATTTACGTCGCACTAGAGCTGCACGATGGGCTATTGGCGACGGTCTGGGAAACACCCCTGAGGATGATCCGAAGACATGCCATCGCAATTTTGATCCTCTGCAGAGGGGATGGCACCCCCGCTTCGGTAGCCCGACGACCTACACGCGAAGTCGAGCACTTTACGGTAGAACAGTTTAACGAGGACCGATACCGCGCACCCTCGGTCCCTACGCAGACTGATCCAAGTTGTCACCCACCCGCACACTGACCGCAGCCAGTGATGCTTGACTTCGGTGATCTGCTGGGAACCGTGTCTTAACGATCAGTCCACTGCGGGACTTATAAAAATCTCAAATGTATTTTAGAGATAATATAAAAAATTCCCGTACCAGGTGATCAGAATCAATAATAAGGAAAGCTTGTCAGACAAAGAGTAAAAACGACTATCAAAATGTGATACAATATATAAAATTGAAATTAAATAACACATTTAATAACAAGGTAAAAATCTGTGGTATGGATGGGTGGCCTAATGTAAACAATAACAAGCGTGGCTAAACCGGAAGAAATTTAGAAAATTTCCGGTGTATCCCTCCGCTTATGTTATGACTACGAGGCGATGTGTGAACAAGTCTAATATTCTATGCAGTTTTGTTATTTGCGATCGCAACACTCGAATACGCCATCTGGGGAGAGACCGGTTTCATGCCTTTAGCCCTTCTCCCTTCCTTCTCCTCCTCTTTTCAGTTGTATAGGAATGTACTACGATATTTTCCCTTTTCTTAATATTTTTCCTTTTTATTTAATAAGAATATTTTTTAAAATTTCCATAATAGTTTTCTTTAGAACTATGTTTAATGTAGTTTTCAGTTCCATATAGTTTTTCAAGTTAAGAGATTTCAATCTATATGAAAATCAAGAGAGAAACTAACGTACTTCCTTCCTCTATGACTTTCCACACGCTAATGGGGAAAGCATGTGAAGTGTTGCCATAGG